TTTTTTCCTGATTTTCGGTGTTGGTTCTATGTGATGACGTCGTCACTGGTTTTGTAGAGAGACTCGGTCGCTCGCGGTTGGTTCCGGTAGTCACTTTCCTCTACTCCCCATCCACGACGCATCGCATTCTGTGCAGTCTCCCCTCCACTCTCTCTCTGCCCTCAAACACCACCAGTTTGTCTCTTGGTGCCTCCATGTTGGGTTATCTGTACGTTGCACTGCTTCGAACATTCGCTCTCTTTATTGTCATTTCTTCTCTGCTCCCCCTTCATGTGTCTCCTCACTCTGCGTCGCTCGCTAGCGGAACCTTTGGCCCTTTTCCTCTGTTCTCCACCGACCGATACCCACATCCCATTGCAAGCCAGTCTCTCTCTTCCCTCTTACACACCGGTCTGTCTGTGTCTCGGCGCTCTCATGTCGTATGCATGTTTTTTTTTTTTTTTATTTTTTCCAAATTATTGCCATCTCTCACCAAATCCGGGATCTTTACAGCCTGCTGATATTTTCCGTTCGTTTATCGTTCCGCCTCGGTTCTCACATTCCAATACTTCAATGAGTGGTGGTTCTGTCTCGCCTACTCGTGGAAACCGGACGAACCGGGAAGCGGACGCCTCAATTGATCTGACGTGGTGCAAGGTTCAGTCCGCTCTCGACGGGCCCGCTCCTTCATCTATGTGCCATACAGCGGTAGACCACTGGCCAACACATTTGTTTTTTCTTTATTTTTTCACATGTGAGCGGCACATATTTTCTGACTCTCCGCACTCTAATCTCTCTCGCCCGTTCAGCGGCGTGAACTATAAGCTGCTGATGACGCCAGCATAGCAGCAGCAGCAGTAGCTCGAACGATTTGATCGGTTTGTTGCTCAGTCCTTTTTCTCTCGCTGGGGCCGCTCATCTCATCGCAGTTGTGTGGCTCACGACGTACGTTTGGCACATCACAGCAGATCAAATATGTTTGGCCGAGCAATCAGCTCCGCGCTCCGCATGACATTTGAACTCTGTGTGCCGTGCTACAGCTTGCTGCTGCAACGCATATATCTACTTAGTCAGTCAGTTGATGATACACGATGAACCAAGCGAGTAGATTATGGGCGCACTTCTGGCGGTGAGGTCGGTCGAGGTCTATTGAGCGGGGCGGCGAAAGCCGCCAGCACTACTACCACCACTCTCCGTCCACCAATGCATACATACGTCATTTTGATGTTCGCCCGATACTACTGTTACTACTGCTGTATGTCATGAATCGAGGATGCCCTCTTACTGCACCAATCCATACTCCGTATTTATGTATTCTCGTTTAGAACACTTATACTTCATGTTTTATTGTTGTTGTTGTTGTTGTTGTCGTTTCTCACATTAGCTCTGTAGTCCACAAAAAATGGGGAGCCCGTGGTCTCAAAACCCGGCACATACGACGCCGCGGGGAAGCAAAACAAAAATAGGGTACAAACCACTTGGAAAAATAAAACAAAAAATGATGGGAAGAAAAGAACAGGTACCGCACCGACCGTTCGAGAAAAACGCCCTCGGGAACCGATCAAAATAAAACAAAAACAAAAATAAAGGAGGACGCTTCCCACACCCGCCTTGAGAAAAAATCAAAGGGTAACGTACCAGCACCAGCCACTATGCCCCAGGGCATGGGAGTAACGGAGCAAACAGGACAAANGGGTAACGTACCAGCCCCAGGCACTACGCCCCAGGGCATGGGAGTAACGGAGCAAACAGGACAAAGAGGCGGCAGATGGGCAGACAGCCAGACGTACAAAAACAAAGTCAACAGCAAAAGCGAGATCAAGGTACCCAACACAGCAGAGTAGGCAGGGGGATCATGAAAAATAGAAACACAGCACAGAGGCCGAAGGCCATACAAAGGACATACATATAGGAGTATAGCATACANCAAAATAAAACAAAAACAAAAATAAAGGAGGACGCTTCCCACACCCGCCTTGAGAAAAAATCAAAGGGTAACGTACCAGCACCAGCCACTATGCCCCAGGGCATGGGAGTAACGGAGCAAACAGGACAAAGAGGCGGCAGATGGGCAGACAGCCAGACGTACAAAAACAAAGGCAACAGCAAAGCGAGATCAAGGTACCCAACACAGCAGAGTAGGCAGGGAGGTCATGAAAAAGGAAACACAGCACAGAGGCCGAAGGCAATAAAAAGGACATACATAAAGGAGTATAGCATACAGCAGGGAGGGAAACAGGGCGCAACAACAACATCAGCCGGGTACATAGTTCGCCATAAGTGCTGCCTCGGCCGTCCTACTCGCTTCTACGGCAGTGCCCGGTCGCCGTTTCTTCCCCCCCACCGCCGCTTCCCCGACTCTCTTTCTCTTCGGTCCTGAGATGGTCGTACTCTCTGCTTCTGCTTCCCTCGCGCGCTGGCGCTTCGCGGACGCTTCCGCCTCCTGCCTGTGCCATTTCCTCATGAACCATGCCGCCCCGTCCTCGACCTTGTTGTACCACACCTCCGGGTCCTTGGCGCTCTCTTTCCATTTCCCCCCTTCCTTTTCGTCTCCCATGTTGAAGGCCACGAGGTCCTCTCCTAGACGAGACACCCAGTCGCTCTCCTGCCCGCCCCGGTATCCCACGCCCCCCGCCATCGCTCCTAACAGCATGCGCTTGGGGAGGTGGCTGTCTTCCATGCGCATAACAAAGCCCACGAAACACAGTCTCCGTTTGCACACGGTGGCCTCGATAGTTTCCTCGCAGCCTGCCTGGATGAGGGCCTGGGCATAGGACAGGGGGCGGTCTGAGCGTTTCCGCTTGCTCCAGCCGATGCACCGTGTGAGGAACTGGCGGTGGGTTCCATTGAGCTTCGTGTAGTGCTCCGCTGTTAGGCTCCACGAGGCGCACCCATACAGGAGAGTCTCTACCACTTAGCCTGGAGTAGCCAGATCTTGAGCTGGCTATCGGCCCGTCGT